CGCTTTAAGGTCGGGTCTCATAAAATTGACATTTTTTATTTACTCCTTTTTAGGGTTGAAACCAGCTGCTTTTGCTGCTCTTGTTCCTAACAGTGCAGAGAAGGTTCTTGGCGAGGTGATCGAGGAAATAATGGGCGACCATGAGATGCTGGTTAGTTCTGATTTGTACAAACATCATAGTAATTATTTTGTTTTTCCCGCTCTGAGTCAAGTCCTCCCTTATGCTTGCAGACTGGAAAGGATTCCAAATAAGAGGAATCTGAAGTAAAAACAGGTAAAGCAGAATGACATGGCCTATGAAGAAAATTCAAGCACCGGATAAACCATGGAGCAGAGGAAGAAGAATCCCAGCATCGGTATGTAGACCTATGATTCTGTCAAGCAGGGCTGGGATGTGCCTGTGATTCGTGTGAAACTTTGCATAGATTTTAGTTGTGCACTCTATGAGACTGTTGCCGTTGAACTTGTTGCACGTGCTGTTGCAAACTGTAAATAGTTGGTTGCACCTATTGATGTTGGGTCTAATTTTGAAATCAGCATGAGCTTGAAATGACTAGTAGTTTGAATTTTAAATTTTGAATTCAGCATGACCTACAATTGTCGGGAAAGCATTGACACTGTTATTTGAACTGGAGGCTGGAATCCGCAAGAGTTGTTGGCTGGAGGCTGGAATTGACTGGCTGGCTGGCTGGTCCAGCCCCAGCACCAGCCAGCCAAATTCAGCTCTGCCGAACAGGCTGCTGATCTTATCTGATCATCAGCAATCTGGGAGCATCGTGTCACTCACCGCTTAACATTAGACAGGCAGGCAATCGATCGATTTTGTTATCTGCAACCGATCACATTGAAATGGGTCTCTGACAGCGCCATTTCTGGCGTCTCAGCATCTAATTTTCAGTGAGTGCCATTTCAGCTTCAGCTCATAATTAGCCATCAGACTTTACGCGACGCAACCGACCCTCCCATAAAGCTACCATTTTTATCATCACTTAAATATCAGGTGAAAATATCACTGTGTAATCTTCTACGAGTTTTGATGTCTGTGAGGTACGAAGTAATCCAATTACTGTGTAATCCTCTGCAAGAAGACATGTCTAATTTATTTCTCCTTTCTGAATATGTCAACCGCCTGTTCGCTTCGTCGTAAACGATCGTAAATTTCTAGCCAGAACAGTATTTTTCTCTCACACAAAACCAGTCAGCAGTAAATAATCCACGATCGTTTACGGCCTGCCGAACAGGCTGCTTTGAGGGGACAGATGCTTTTCCAAAAGCTATAGTTTGAGTTTTCCAAAAGCACATAGTAACTCGCATCAGCTTTTCAAAAGCCTAAAGCTCACAACAGCTTTTTCAAAAACCACAGCCTAACCAAAGTATTATGAATGAGTGTCACGTCAGAGTGTGCTTGGAATAGCACCTCAGCATGCTAGATTTATGACTTCAATATATTCAGATTGTTGCATCAGAAGCCTTTTCATCTTCTAATCAGCATATATAATTATGTGAGTTGTGAGGTCATATGAGCTTGTTTGTGTCTGACGTTGGAAGCAGTGAAGCTTTATCTGCTAATCCATTCAATTATCTCCGGGAAATCGCATGGATCAGGTGTCGACGGTATATTTTTAAGTTTGTGCTTTGTTTAGCTGGTCCTAGGAAGAATCAATTAGTATAACCGCGTTGTGTGTTTATGCAACAAGGCCAGCAGACCGACGTGGGATGGCGATAGTTGGTTTTGGGAGGACGAGGTCTGTGGTTACAATTACAATTCATAAAATGGCAGAGGTGGGGTGCGATATATAGATAGTAGATACCATCCATCACAAGTTCGTGTTTGTGTTGCCCCATCGCTTGTGCTCTTAAGCAGGGATGAAAACGGATTGGATACGAACGGATATCACTAATATTACATTTGTTTTTATATTTCTGTCCGGATTCGGATTCGAATACGAATAGTGTCAACCATATCGGATAGGATACGATTGGATATCGACATCATAAATATGCGATTTGAGTATTCGGATACGGATACAGTATCGGATGTTGAATATCCGGACTCAGATACGAACAGATCTGAACCCCTTTAAACGGATTCGGTTTCGAATACGGTCGAAAAATATCCGTACCGTTTTCATCCCTACTCGTAAGGCCCCGTTTGGCCGGGCTCCCGCGTGCTCCGGCATAGCGACACTGTAGCCAGAGCCAAAAAAACGAACTTCTCCCCCAGAACGGCTCTGTAAAAGAGAAAACGAAGAAAGAGAAAACCGGCTCTGATGAACGGTGTCCACGCACAACGTGAACAGTGCGCAGCGGAGGGAGCCGGAGCCGCCGGAGCTGCACCAAAGGCGGCCTAAGCAGTGTAATGTACTGTTTGAGGCAAACAGCAGCAGCATGCAGAATTAGCTCACAGGTTTTCAGGAGGAGAGCAAGACACGTGTTTCAGAGTTAGGAGTCAGTCAGAGCAGAGGAGAGGTCAGGCAGGAAGAGGGCCACCCCGCCATGTGTTTTTGCTGCAGACCTGCAGTGCAGCTCCATGCCATACTAATGTACTCACTCACTCCATTAACAATTTAACACCGCCATCATGCCATGCACCCCAAGCAAGACCATGAGACCACTCCACTTATCTCTCACAGACTCACACACAGTGCTAAGTGCTTCCTCACAGTCACAGCGTGACATGACGATCACAAGCAGCGAGGTACATACTCGTACTCGCTTGTCCATCACCATTCCTTGGAGCAGCAAACATCATCCAACAGAACAACAGAGTCGACGCGACCTAGGGCATGTTTGATTCGTCTAGTAGCTACTAAATTTAGTAGCTTTTAGTTATTTTAGTAATTTTTTAACTAAACGTTATGACTAAAAGCTATTAAAAGGGCTTTAGTATTCTCTTGTAACTCTAGAGTTATTAAAAGTAACTAAACCATTTAGTAGCTACTAAAGTTTAGTAGCTTGAAACAAACATCCCCTGTAGGAGTAGTTGCTCTCCTGTGTGACCTCTCTCACACAGTCTGTCTCACAGTCACACCTCAGCTCCTGTAAATGAAATGATACTCTGTGGCAAATGAACTGATGGAGAAGGACAATTGCACAGTTTCGGCTGATAAACGGGCTGACGTCGTTTCGTCACGAGAGAAAGACATGGACAAGCCGGGCTAATAATTTCAAGCCAACCTCCTTGCCTGTTGAGACGAAGCAATATTCTCACTCCTCTGTCGGTCTGTCCTCTCTTTGATTCTCGCAGTTGCAGGAGGTCCACTGTCCACAGCATAGGACAATAGTAGGAGTAGCAGTGAGTGAAGGTGTGTGAGTGTGACAGTGATGGTCACGGTTGCAACCAGGGGACACGTAGGAGTACAACGTAGGAGTACTACTGCTCCCGGACCCCGGGACCCGGAGTGTGCATGTGACGCCGGAGTGCAAAGCGACGCCGGCAGGCTGGCCTGAAACCAAGGCAAGGCAGGCACATATTCCATTCCTGGGTTCACTTCACTGTGATTCACTACTCACAAGTCACACACAACATGGCCAGGCCAAAATGATGCCCGTCCGTCCGTTCGTTTCTTCTCTTCCTTGGACATGTCCGTCCGTGCACGCACCTTTTCCATTTCTTGTTCCGTTTTGCTTCAGAGGAAGAAAGGGTACAGGGACAGGGTATTGTAACTGTAATCTGCATCGCCCATGGCATTCCATTCAGCAAGGATGTAGGAGTGCATCAGAGGAGAAGACAACGACAACTACTACTAGTACGATGGAATTTCTTCAGAGAAAAATATCGCACATCTCTGTGATCCTGGGATCCTATCTGCCTTGGTTGTATAACCAGAAGAGGCAGACCAGGTTTCCGTTGCAGAATCGTGGCCACCTGATCGATCAGCAATCTGGGGGCATCGTGTCACTCACCGCTTAACATTAGGCAGGCAATCCATTTGAAATGAGTCTCTGACAGCGCCATTTCTGGCCCCGTTTGGCACGTCTCCGGGCAGCTCCGGCTCCGCGACAGATCACTGTACAAACACTGTATCACGGAGCCGGTTTTCAATCTCCTGCTGCATCTTTCACTTAGCTCGTGGTACTGTTCACGGAGCCAGCGGAGCCAAAATTTCGAGCTTCACCGGTGAAGCCGCTGGCTGTGACTGTCTGTGAGAGGGAGAGGGAAAGAAGAGAAAACCGCTCTAGCTACAGTGAATGAACAGTGAAATTTTTTGTAGGCGGGAGCCGGAGCTACATGGAGCCGTATGCCAAACGGGCTCTTATAAGTGCCATTTCAGCTTCACATCAGACGACACGCGACGCAACCTACCCAGCCCAGCCATAAAGCTACCATTTGTATCATGAGCTTGTCTTTTTAACACCCGGATGTTTGAGCACCCGCAACGCCTCCTCATGGATACTGTTTATCTTACTTCTCTCTTCTCTTCCTCTTCGGCACAAATCAGCCGTCCGATTGTTGTATAGCATCTCCGCACTTGTATATATCCGGCGATCGATAAAATCACGCACAGGAACAGGAGCGGTTCGTTGTCGGTTTGCAAAAATTCGTGGCGTTTCTTTTTCTTCTCTTCTCCCATTCTCATGTTCTTCAGTGTTTATTAGTACCACCATGTACAGTACCATGAATGAATGAACACAAGAACGGACGGACTAGTAGTAGTAATCAAAACAAAAGAAAACTAAAAGCAAGCAGGGATCTTTTGCATTCGATTCGATGATCTCCCTCCCGCTTGCAAAAACACCGCAAGCACGGAGGATCGTCATCATACCTATCGAATCGATCGCAGTCATCCATCCCTTGTCTTGTTGTTCTTGTTTTGTTGGTTGTGGTTTAATTTCTCCTCCTTCCGTCGCCGGGCCGGGCCTATTTACAAAAATATTACAGCAGCAGCAGAGCAGGGGATTTGGATTGTCTGGGGTGGGGAGGTCGCCGTCGTCAGCCATCATCGCCTGATTGAATTGATTCGATCACCGTCACCGAGCTGAATAACCGATCATCCAATTCATAGCTCCTTGGCTGTGGCCACGGCGGCGGGGACGCCGCCGGCAACGCCGCCGTCGTCGTCGAAGACGCCGCGCTTGCCGTAGCAATGCAGGAAGACCCAGAGCAGCGCGGCGTTGAGCAGGGTGTTGAAGACCCAGGCGCCGATACCGCTGCACCCACCACCGACGGCGCCGAAGTGCATCCAGACGACGCCGACGTGGCAGGCGAGGTTGCACCCGAGGAGTCCGAGCTGGCACGCGAGCGCGACGGGTGCGGCGCCCCTAGCGCCGCCCCCGGCGGCGGGGAGTCCCGCGCCGACCCAGAACCGGTACCCGAGCGCGACGGCGTGCGCGAGCGTGGACGCCAGGATGGCGAGCACCTGGAACGACTGCGAGAACTCGAGCCACAGGAACGCCATGGCGACGGAGGCGGCGTGCGCGAACACGCGCGCCGCGGCGCCCCGGCGCCGCCGCAGCACCGCGAACACGCCCCGCGCCGCGTGGATGTACCGGGAGAGGTAGTAGGCGTAGGACCAGAAGAAGACGCGGCCCGAGGAGCGTGTCCCGGGGGGGAAGCAGAGGAGCCACCGGAGCGGCGTCGTGTGGCTCCGCCCCCGCCACGACCACCGCGTGTCGCGTATCTCGGCCACCGCTGATAGCAGCGTCCCCGCGAAGATGGCCGACGACGCCGCCGCCATAAGCAGCGCGTGCGCTGCGGGCAGCGGGCCTAGTGGGACGGCGAGCGGCGCGCGGCGGCGGTTGGGAGGGCGGGGGGCGGTGGCGGCGGCGGCGAGGCTCAGGGCGGCGTCCAGGGCCAGGCAGAGGAAGACGTAGGCGGCGAGGGAGCCTAGGAGGAAGGCCCAGGTGGAGAACCACAGGTGTGTGGGGCTCCACCGGAACCCCACGATGGCCGGGTGCTCCGCGAGCCAGTACGCGGCGGCCGCGGCCATGGTGGGGGGAAAGAACGGGGACGGGAATGAGGAGAGGAGGAGGAGGAGGAGGAGGAGGACACGTGGTGGTTGTTGTGGCTGGAGGCTGGAGGAGGGTGTGGACGAGGATGGAAAAGGGATTTGGGGACGAGAGAGGTGGACATATATAGCCGCCCGCCATTGAAGGAGGTTGCTCTGCTTTCTTTGGGCTTGAGAGAGAGATTCTTCAGCCTCGCCGTCGCCGTCGTCCTCCTCCTGTCTGTCGGTCAACATGACAAGTCTCCTCTCCTCTCCTCTCCGCGTTTTCTTTTTCTTTTTTTTTTTCATTCAATTTTTATTCAGAGCAAGCAGCATATGGATGTGATTTTTTTCTTCCAAATTCCAAGTCCAGTTATTGACTTTTGTTTCTGCTCTTAATTATGAATCAGTTTATAGAACTACTACTAGTAATGCCTTTTCGTTAATTTTAGACCAAACAAACAAAGGAATTTTTGTTGAACATAAAACAAAGGAATTCTAGATGAGACCCTTTTGTGTTCGTCTCTGTCTCTGCCTTTGAATATAGTGCGTCAAGATAGACGTATACATGACACCTATTCTTAGGCAACAAAACACGGTTCGCATGTTATTTTTGCGTCTCCGTAATTACAAAATGGAAACACACACGGGTTAGGGTCATGACAAGTTTGTGTATGGCCATCCGGAGAGTTGTCCCTGGAGATGGAACACTGAATGTTGATTCTGAATCTTTAGGGCTAGAGAAGAGAAGTTTTACAAATGGCGCCATGAGTTTGGACTTGGACCAATGCAAAGAGAGGTACACAAAGTTGTGTTTATGTTTTCGTGTCCCCTCCATGAAGATAGATTATTAGATTAGCTATGCATCCTTGAATGAAGATATAATATATAGAGAATAAATAAACTAGATTACAAAATCAGTTGGTAATGGATCAACATGGAATCTTCTTCAGTTGCCTGTTTGGTTGGCTGGTTTTTCTCAAGACAATTCAAGTATGGTTGATTTTCAGTTTTACTATTCAAATTAGAAATTTCACGATCGCTTTTACGGGCCATAGAGAATAAATAAACTAGATTACAAAATCAGTTGGTAATGGATCAACATGGGCGTTGGGCTGCCACTGCTGCTACTGCTAATACAATATCGTTAAAAAAAAGTGCAATTCTTGTTTTTTAAGGATTCAAACGATTTCAAATTTGATTAAAATTTATAAAAAAATTTACCAACAATTACTGTACAAAATAAATATAATCGAATTCATTATGAAATATATTTTTGTAAAAAGTTTAGTTGCAAACATAAATGTTAACAGTAACTACTATAAACTCGGATGAAGTTAAACTAGTTTGACTCATATGCACCTATAGTTACGTTTCTTTTCGTGGACGGACGAAGTATCGTCTGAGGAAACCAATCCAATCCGAAGGCGGTGAGGTGAGAGTGAAAGTAGAGCGCGAGGAGGAGGAGAGGCTGTGGTCGGCGCCTGTACCTGCATTCTTTTCCCATACTACCTAATCCCCTGCCTTCAGTTTAAGAACCCGGTAAATCAAACTGCCGATGGTGATTAATTAATCCAACCCGTCACCATCAGCTGCCCTCCCTCCCTTACCGGTTTCCACAAATTAATTAAAAACAATTCAGCCGTTCTAGACGCCGCCTGACGTACGCCACACCAGACACAAGTACTACATTAAGTCCGCATTGTATAGAATTTGTCAAACCAAACCAAAACAGGCGTACGTGCAAATACTAATACGTGGTACTACATGGAATGGCCGTGGAATTGCAAAGATTTGTCTGAATGTTGAGCTCTGTTTGACCCTCCAGAAGAGCTAGTAGGAAAAGGACAGAAACGGAGGAGGCAAGCAAGGCAAGGCAAAATCTATCTATTGTATCTGTTGGCTCTGACTCTCAATCGCCTCTGACTCTCAATCTGCATCTCAAGGCAACAGAAACGAAGTACTCCCATTCCCAACACTCTTCATCATCATCTGTCCGATTCCGATCACTCTGTTTTTGTTTTCTTCTTCCCGTCCTTTTTTTATGCATCATATATACTCCACTCCACCTGCATCGTGTGCACATCAAGGGAAAAAGAGGGCACAATCGATCCACTTGTTGTATTGTATGTATGCCACGGCGCCGTTGTAGAATATGGATAAAGGTTGCCGGAGCTTCAGTTCACTGGAAAGCTGGCCTGAAACATGAGGAATAAGGAATCCCCCCTCTCGTCGTCCTTTAGCTCGCTCACAAGTCACAAGTTTCTTCTTTGCTGCCTTTGTTAGTTGCTTTCTACAGTAGAATATGAATAATAATCTACACACGTTGCTTCACTCTCTGAAACTCCAATAATTAATTTAACAACGGTTTTAATTTTGTTGGCGATATCAGTGACCGTAGGTTATTCCATTGGCCCCGTTTGATTCTTGGAATTGAATTCATTTTTAGAATCATAATTTACATACATATTAATTAAGCTAATATAGTTGTATATGGATTATATTTGTATATTATTGTTGGTTATACGAGAGGTGTACTTATGTATTGTATTTCTATTATAGGAGAACGAGTTGAAGAGCGTGTTATAAGCTGCAAATTAGAAACATAGCATGGTGATATGTAGAATCAATTTTCATCTCCCACCCTATAAATTTGAGATAGGCTTATATGTGAACTTTGGAAAGTGGTGGAATGTCAAAGTCCAAGCCAAATAACATAAATTATTATGTAGATTTCAATTTCTCCAAATGAAGGGATCCAAACGGCCCCTTATTTAATTTTGCAACGAATGGAACATGCCTCGATTTGATGGACCCGATGATATTTGCCAGCAGCAGTAGCGAGGATGATGTCTAAAACTTCTGCTAGCTCAACTGGTGGTTGGGTGGAAGGTATGGTCGACTGGTTGTACACCCACGAACCACTTAGTTTAAAGCCCCCTTTTGGCTTGAATTTATGTCTATTTTCTCTTTCTGATAATAAAAACCCACCTAGTTCTTCCTATGTTATTTTCTCTTCTTAATGAAAAAACCACCTAGTGCTCCTAGGTTAGTTCTCGTTTTTTTTACTCTCACTGTTACGGCAGTTAGCATACACCACTGGTACAGGTACATACCTACCTGAAGAAAGATTATTCCAATATGATGCTCCAGCTAGCTAAGCTATCGTCCGTCTGGGGTTCAGTTTCAGTTTGATGCAAATAGAATTGATCGAGACCCTGCAGCATCTCCATTACACATGCAATAGGGGTACTGGTACTACTCCTATTCATGCATGACATGACATGAACATTGAACAGTATGGATAGTGCTGCTCTACCAACCTTTATTTCATTCGCTAGAGCTTTTCATGAGGAAAGGAAAGGAAAGGAACAGCGCCTGAACGGAAAGAAAAAGACCCTTAATTAGCTTGCTGGGATCCACTGGAGAAAACACATTGGCTTAACAGCTTGCTTTGGAATATTATTAGGTTGGTTGTGAACGAGGTCGACAATGCAAGTAGCCAAAGTGTTAGATTACCGCAAACCGCAAAGTAAGCGTAGGGAATAATAGAATAATTTATCTTTTCACATGCTTGGACTTGACTGGACCATATATGATATCTGCGTAGTGTCATAATTAAGGTACCAACTGGTGTCATTGGTTTCGTCTCAAAAAAAAAAACGAACTTGTAAGTGTCCTTTGGTGTATGGTCTGTGGATGAACATTTTATCGGGTGGTGGACTTCCGCAGGGCTGGAATTGCGCTCAGAACTCGCTGGGCATGGAAGCAGCGGGTCGATAACGGATACAACACCTTTCATGTGTGCGCGTTTGCATCCTGCAGGGACACGTTATTGCTAGCTTCATGCTTATACGAGATTAAAAATTCCATCCATGTATGAGCACGTACAGTGCTTGTACATGTCCTGCATGTGTACCACTACTACATAAAGTTTACTGGAGGCGGGCGATTTGGGTTTCCCGCGGCGGGCAAAGCCGTCCGCCCATGCGACCCTACAAAGCCACGGTAAATCGTGGGCTTAACACTGCTTGCGGCGGCTTTGCCGCCCACAGTTAATTTATTTACCAGCAAGCGGGCGGTGTAACGTGCCGCTGCGGTAAATATACTTTTACCACGGCGGGCACGTTACACCGCCCTTGCGCGATAAATAGAGTTAACATGGCGGGCACCTTTTGTGGCCCGCCCGTGGTTATGTTGATTTACCGTGGCGGGCTTTATTATTTGCCCGCCTCGGTAAATTATTTCTGAATTAAAAAATAAAGCGAGCATATATATAAATTCAAATAAAATACATCAAGCATATAAATTCAAATTCAAATTCAAATCACATCCAGATTTCACAGATTAAACTTAAAAAGTATGCGACATTACACATGAAATAATATACATGTATATATATATATATACATTCACTTAGTCGTTCTTGTCATCGTTAATTCATTACATTTACATATTAAAATTCGTTATACATGCGCTAAAGTGTAATCCTGCGGACGCATCATCGTGGGCCATTTCCTCGACCTCTCGTACTCGGTAACATCGCTAGTGGGTTGTTCTCATGGAAGAACGTGCCCTTCAAGCACGCATTTGTCTAAGACAAACTTACATATGTCCGCTTTATGCCGCTTGAAGTCGTGTTGGATGCTCGCATGTCTCTCGACCAGTTCAATCCATTCTTGAGCACCTTCCAATTCTTTCTTTGTCAGATCGCTTGCACACCCTCGATCTCACAGCGTAGAAGCCACAGTGTTTGTGATCCTACCGGGTTGTTTGGCACAATTGCATGATCGATACGCAAAGCATTACAACACGGGCATTAGAACGCATATGAACGGAAAGCACAATTAAACCTTTCAAATACTTACCGGAAAGTTAAATCGATTTTGATGCGGTTCTTATGCTTAGCCTTAAAATTCTCTGTTCTTCGATCATAGCATTCGGATCCTTCACGTACTCCTTATAAGCGCTATATACTGAAATGTACTAGTATTAGATAGGGC